CGACGCTCTAACTACACAAGCACGATTTAATCAGTTGCTTGGAAGTGAAAGACCAAGTCGGATATTTGGACTTATGGATCTTCCCATAGAGATTAAAGCAGAGCCAAGAACAGGTATGGATATCTGGCAGAGTAAAGAGCGTGAATTTTCTCCGAAAGAGGACGTGCACGTTGACATACTGGAGTGTGCAAATCCTGATGATTATTGTCGGGAGGAAGAAGCTGTGCCCCAGGACATAACCAGCTCTTCGAGTTCTTTCAATGACTCGATCTGTGTTCCTGGTGATTCCGGGCTTGGCGATGAAGAGGCTCAATCCATATTATGCGAGGAATACCCTTTGCCTCCTTCAATCTGTGATGGGACTGAATTCTTTTGTATGAGGTATAAATCTCTGCCTTCTACTGGTTTATAACCAGATGGGGCATATTATTTTGAGATTGTTGCTTTCTTTTTGTCAATTGGTATTCATGTTTTTTGCTGATAGTGTTACTGATGAAGATGTTTCTATGTGATTATTATGCGTTGTAAAGGAAGAAAAAGCTGAGGGATGATTGGAGGCATTTCATTAGGCCTATAAGCTGGAGATGTAGATGGTTAGAGCTGAAAGTTAAGGAATTTCAGTCTCAAGCGAGAAAATACAAGAAAGAAATTGCAGACTATTATCTTACGAAGCAGTTTGAGTTGGAGAAGTTGAATTTGGAAGGCAACGCTGTAAAGTCAATACCTTTTCCTGTCCAAGCTCAAAGGGTGAGAGTTTTGAACAGAAGAAAAAGGAAGCGAGTGGAAGAAACAACTGATGTTGCATCATATATGTCCAGCCATAATCTCTTCTCCTATGCCGGTATGAAAACTGCAGTGTTTTCTTGCTTCTTTTAACTTCTGTTATTCCCCGTGAAAGATTGAGCTAACGTGGTAGTCATACTCTCTTTCTTTTCGTTTCTTTTCGTTCCCTAGAAAATCGGATGCCAGCAACCGCTGGCCCTCATCATCGTCAGATAGGTAATATACGAATTTTGTTGGGTTCCTTTGCTGTGAATTGCCATGTTTTTCATGAAGCTAGCTGACGGGCAAAATTCTTGAACATATGTTAGATATTTGTGCAGAACGCAAATGTTCAAGGAAGGAGAATGAGGTTGAAGATGACAGTCTAGTTTATGAGGTCAAGTTTTCTGATGAATATGTGGCGGGTGCCCTACAAAAGATTGATGAGGCGTGGGAAAAGGCAAAAAAGCTGAAGAAGCGTGTAGATGAATTGATGTGTGAACCATCAATAGAAATAGTAAACGACTCTGTCCATATAGAACATCTATCTATACCCGAGATCTCAGCTCCCGTCCAGAACATTGAGCAGCAACGCCTGATCAACATCTCTCCAAGCTTTTTTGGAGATGAAAAATCTATCTTCCCCGTCTTTGAAGATGTAAGAACTTCTTTTTCTGGGCACAAACATAAAATTGTTTGTAATGTTTCCTCGTCTTCTCTATCTGGGTGTGACAGTGTTGTGGATATATATATATATGGTGTGTGCAGGTCGAGGAAGAAGCGGAGGGTGAAATAGCAACGGGGGAAGAGCTTGATTACTTCAGGAAAATAATCAATGAGGTAACAGGAGGAGTGCCTCGATTATCATCAGAAGAACCAGAAGCCGAAGGAGAAAAAGAAGAAGATCCTTCGCTAACAACAACAACCAAAGAAGAAGATCCTTCACTAACAGCAACAACCACCATATCCACCAGGGTCAAGACCAGGAAAAGGAAGAAGAGGCAACCCTCTCGGATATCATCCAGCACAAGATCCCGTAGGAGTGCTGCCCTTCTCAGGCGGAAAACCACACTCTGAGAGCTTGTCTCTGTATAGCCCCCAAGGTCATGCCTCATCAGAGCCTCTATTACCATATGATCTTCTTAGGTAAGGTGGTGAAAATGTATAATTTTTTTTTTATGTGCATTCTTATCTTACTTGCGCTCCAAAGAATTGTGAACCCACTAGGTTTTCAGAGGCCAATAGGACCTTTTTTGCTTATTCTTCTTTTCGTAGGCTCTCTTCTCTTGCTCTATTTGATTCATTGCATTGCACCGTTCTTCAGCAGTCCATCGAAATCGACACCCTTATCTAACGCAGATAAGGTGAGCAAAGCCAAGGCTCATGCAAGATAGTTGGCTGATGTTGTCATGTCCTGAAATTTATTTGGTTTCAATCTCTTATTCATGACTTTGGGTGGAGTCATTCCTTTTTGACCCACAGGCAGGAGAAACAACACTGTCTGAATCTTCCTACTTGCTTTCATTTCATTATTATTATTATTATCACTAAAGAAAATTTGATAAATTGCGTGAGGAAAATATATATCAGCATATATTAGTATTTTGTATTCAGTGTAAGAACATACCGATCTAGCGAAAATCAAACAGAACTACAAGAAATTGTGGGTATTAACCTTTTCTTTCAATTTTTATCTTTTTCATGATAGAATATGCAAAGTAACATAAACAAAATACCAAGAAGAGCCATCTTTTATGGCTGGGGGTCATGTTTAGAGAGAGAAACGGCAAGAATTTCTAAAAACAAACGGATAAGCTAACGGACTGCACGCCGTTTTCTTCAAACATGGTTTTAAAAGAAAAAGCGGCATTTCCAAGTCACTCCTTCCAAGTTTGACATATTTACGCACTATGTCCAGCTAAATGCCACGGGACTCCCAACCACGTGTTTCCCATCGGACCACTCGATTCTCCCGAAGCTATTACTTGTCGGGGCAGATGACGAGCTTACGGTGAAAGTGACCGTATACGATTGCTTCTCGTTCACTTCTTTGAAACTCAAAACCGCCGGTTCAACCGCAATCTTGACCGCTGTTGTCTCCGAAGATATCTTCACTCTGTACGTCCCGGCTCCACCCACGCTCGTCACGGTGCGCGTGTACTTATACGCGCGGGTCCCACTCCGCGTCGTGTCGATGTTGACCGCGAACGACGGGTAGTTCAGATCGGTGACGCTGTACGTCTTGCTTGGATCGCAGGTGAAGTTGCTCCTCGCCACGCTCTTGATCTGCGACGCCGTGTATTTCAACGCGCACAGGAATCCGATGTAATCCTCCGCCGACAGATCGTAGACGAGGCCGGGGTTAATCGCGTTTACCGGCGACACGTGTCCGGCGCCGTGGTCGAACGGCGTCGATGACTTTCCGGTCGCCACGTCGAGGATTGGCTTCTGGTCTTTGTAGGAGCTGTAGGCGGTTGTCATGAGGGCGGAGCGGATCGCCGCCGGGCTCCAGTCCGGATGAGCTGCCTTTAGGAGCGCGGCCAAGCCGCTCACGTGCGGGCAGGACATCGACGTCCCCGAGATGATGTTGAACCCCACGCGCCGCTCGTCGGCGGCTAGACCTGTGGGTCCGGCTTCTCCGGTCCAGGCTGCGAGGATGTTGACACCCGGCGCGATCAAATCTGGTTTCAGAATCTCTGGCGTGATCGAGTTCGGTCCCCTCGAGCTGAACGCGGCTACCACCGGTGACGGCTGGATCCCGACGACGGTTCCTTCGAAGACGATTGTGGCCGTAGGGTTAGGATTGGTTAAGACGTATTCCCGGATTTCGTCGCCAGATTTCTCACCGACGGCGGTGGCCGGTAACAGATGGGCATCTGCCACAAGCTCTTCTCCGTTCGCCGCCGTGTTGGCGAGGATCATTCCGATGCCTCCAGCATCTTTCACCACTTGCCCCTTCTGAACCCTAGCATTAACTCCCCTGTCGCACATCACGATCTTACCTTTCACTCTCTCCGGAATTAGGGTTCCGGTCATGCACAGATTGCCGTTGGTGGCGTTACTCGCATTACCGGCGTAGACAAAGGGCAGCAGTTTAGCCGGCAAGGCATCTCCTTTGAACAAAGACACGCCGGAATAGTTCTTGCCGTTGCCGAACGTGACTTGGGCCGGGAAATCACGGTCCAGTGTGCCTGCGCCGACAGTGGTGATCCACGGAGCAACGTTCGATAAGCTGAATGAACTGGGACCCGCATTGCCGGCGGAGCAGGAGACTAAGATACCCTTTTCCATGGCGGCAAAAGCTCCAATGGCCACGCTGTCCCTGTAGTAATCGGACATGCCCCCGCCGAGAGACATGGACAAGACGTTGACACCGTCCTCGATAGCTCTATCAATCGCTGCTAGAATGTCGGAGCTGAAACAGCCGCCGAGCCAACACACTTTGTACACAGCCACTCGAGCGCGTGGAGCCATCCCACGCGCCGTCCCCGCCGCGTAACCCAAGAGACTGGCTCCTTCCACGATAGATCCGGCCGCCGTCGACGACGTGTGGGTCCCATGGCCATCGTCGTCTCTGGCAGATTTAGATTCCTTGGATTCATCGATGGGACCCATCGTGGCCTCATAACCTCTGGCGAAGAATCTCGCTCCGATGAGTTTGTGGTTACAGCTCGAAGCGCTAAAGTTCGTGCCGGTTTCGCACGCGCCTTTCCAACCACTCGGCACGGGACCAAACCCAGAGTCGTCGAAGCTCTTGCTCTCCGGCCAGACTCCGGTGTCGAGAACTCCAACGACGACGTCAGTAGCCGAGTCCGATTGCGGGAACAGATCCGCGTTATGGTCCAGGCCGAGAAAAAGCGGAGTGCGGGTCGTGTGGAGCTCGTACCGGAGCTCCGGGAGGACTGAGATGACACCGGGTTGACCGGTGAGCGACTCGGCCTCCTCGGGGGTTAGCCGAGTCGAGAACCCGTGAATCGCGTTGTCGTATGTGTAGAGCAACTCGGCCGAGTCAGAGACAGATCTGAGAGACGAGTCGTACCAGTGGGAGTGGTGGTCGAAACTCGCTGGCATCTGGGATCTCGCCATGTGAACGATGTAAGTAGCACGCCGTTGTCTGCCATCTCCGGTGGCAGCGGAGGGAACGTGGTACAAGCCCAGATGGAGGACAAGAAGAAAGACGGCGAGAGAAGTTAAAGACGTCATCTTTGCGGTCTCTCCGTCTCGGGTAATGGAAGGAGGAAGGGGGAAGAAGTGGAGGAGCTTAAATTTTCCAGGAACCTGAGAGAAAATGAAGGAAAGTTGGAAGGCGGGTCGGATGGTGGAGGTTCTGGATGCCTTCGTATGTATGAATGATTAGAAATAGAAAGGACGAGAGAGAGAGAGTATGTGTGTGTCCAGCTGTGGAAGTGATGAGTGTATGACCATATTATAATATTATTTTATTTTCTTTAATAATTTCTAGTTTTTAATATTTATTTGTTGGACCCTTTGCTCACATGAGTTACGGCTTTTCTATTTATCCATTTAATGCATTGTTTTTTTTTTCCTTCTCCATTTTCTGTCGTTATTGCGCATTTCACTGTTCTTCTTTTCTGAAGATGAGCAGATAAAACCCACTTTGGAACCAAATCTATGATGAGGAACTTTGACTATGGTCCACAACAATAATAAATGCGTTGCAATAACATTATGAACAAGTTATAAACTATTACAATTTGAATGACGTAAATTTATACGACGGACGAATTCATCCCAAATTTTGTTACATAATAAGAGATATGCTGGTATTAATAAATCCATACATATATATATATATGGTTTTAGAGGATATAAGCTGTATATAGCCCACAATTGTCTTTAAATTCAAGCCACGGTCTGGCCATTAAGATGACTCACCTTGTTCATAAACTTTTTTTTTTGACAAAACAATTTTACCATCATAATTGTAATATGTACTTGGACTAAAAAAAATGTAACATATGCACATATATATATGTATATATATATATATAATATTTCTGTCTTATTCATATATCATATCAGAGACCAAAATTCTAATGGTTTCTTTTCTTTTTGTTCTCTTTCTCAAAGTTCACGGGTAACCAAATGAGCAGCACCTTGTGACACATAAATACAGCGCGTGATATTTGTGTGTGTATGTCCGTGACCACCTTTTATCGCCTAAATGGTATGTTAAAGCAACATACATATACATATATATATATATATGTTGTGACATATTTTACGATTTGTTATGTACATAAATATATATATTAAATAGATTCAAGTATTCACCCCTTAGATTATTATACAGTGTAAATAAATGTGACTAAAAAAAGTAATTATAGATGTAACATCTTTGACAGGTACGAGTAGTGTGGGTCATGAGTCATGACTTGAGAGGGAAAGCCACCAACCAGCCAACTACAACGGAACAAACGTTCATTAACGTGCCGAAAGAACCATACTTCCCATAAATATTTCAAATTTGATAACTTTGTACGTTTATATACCAATGTTCTTATTACAAATCTTAATATATCCGCTTTTACTATACAAAAAAAAATACATCTTAATTCAGTAATTAAAAACTATCTATAATTAACGGAAGTTTCAGTTGGGCTGAGAACAAATCTGCAACTGGATTTGGAGTCTCGACCGTGGAACAATTTTTCGGCTTGTGGGCCCATGAGTGACGTGTGCGTCTCCTAGATCTCTGTCTCTGCGTCGACAACCTCTAGACCGTTCGATTCGAGATAGATTAAAATCTATAAATCATATAATATACTATTTTCTGATAATCAAAAACTATATATATATATATAGATGCGTTTGCTGAGTAAATGCATGTGAAGAAGATGGAAGATGGAAGATGGAAGATGGAAGATGGAAGATGGCGGATGGATGGTCAACAATTTTGACTATCACCTCCTTTAATGGCGAATTATATTTAGTATATATTCGCCCTTCATTATTGCAGTCAAATGGCTAACATGTCCCGTGGATTCCATTAAATGCTTCTCGTTTCTTATATAAACCAATAAACCCTCATATCCACGAAACAAGCATCTCATATTATATAAAAATATATATATTATAACATATGATTTTATAGAACAACCCCCAACAATATATATAATCTAAATGGTAATATTTATCTATTTTATATATACTCTGATATGTTACAACAAGATATTTATGTCATGATTAACCCGGGTTAAAGTCTTTTCAGTATATACTTAGACAGAAATGTGTGTGTGTGTGTGTGTGTGTATGCATAACACCAAACCTAACCAAATTAAAATAAAATAAAATAAAATCTTAGTGAGAACTTTAGGCTGTATGGTACGACAAGGATTTCATATGAATCGATTTCAAACCTAACCAACGTTCACATTAATATTCTCATTATTTAAATTTAGTTTTTTTTTTTTGGATTCTAATCTGATGCAGCAGGCAGCTGGCAGTTGGTCCATGTTTTTTGGACTCCGGTGGGATTGTTGCAAATCGGTTCTTGTCCACCTCGCTAGACAAATTGTTGTCTAGGCTCTTATTTGCCCACGCTCTTTCTTGTTTCCGAAAACATTTTGTATATTCCAATTTGCTTGTCATGGAAAATACTTCAATATAATTTATGAAATACCAATAATTTATAAACATCTGCGAAAATAAACAAATATGTAAGAATAAAAAACGGTCCCACCGCATGCTGATCTTTAAGCAAAAAAAAAACGATAATAATTGGGCTTAACATGAAAGCCCACAATGTAAAATCTGTAGGCCCAATATGGTCCATTTGGAATATCTAACTAGAATTGGACCATGCCGCCATCTAACTATAATTATTGAGTAATTTTTTAAATAAAAAAATACAAAACAAAACAAGGGAAGTAGGGGGGGAGTTGCTCGAGCCTTTGAGGGGAACATGCCGGCGAATAATGCATGTTCTTGTCCGGAGCTTAAAATAATCTGGTCCTTTATTATATATATATATATATTATAATTTTTAACATGAATGAATTAATATTTATCGACTAAATGTTTTAAAATTCTAATAAAACTTCCGGAAGAAATGTTCAAAAGCAAACCCATTACATTCAAATCAGTATTTATGTTAATACGAAGTCCAGAAAGCAATGATCATCGAGTAACATTCAAACTCATTATTTGAAGCCATGGTTGCGGCCTCATCAGCCTTTCATTGTTTCCTCGATTGTCGCTAGACCCCGTGGACGTCGACGACGACAAACTACGACGGCCAGAATCTGAATCTCCGGACGATTTTTTCTTCCTCGGACGACCGTAACATGCAGGTCCAAGTGTCAGTTCAATCTCACTCTCGTCTATATTCTCTACATCCGATCCACCCATGTTGTCCAAATCTAATCTCCTTAAATCCCCTCTAAAAACGTCGCAGAGCTCGGCGTCGTCTTCGCCCACTGCTCTGATGAACCCAATACCGGTTTTTACAATGTTATCCTGTCTTCGTAGTTCTTGTTTGGTCTCCATGTTCTTCATCAGCATCTTCTGAACTTGGTATAAACGGTGAAGTTCGTATACCTGAAATTAAACGAATAATTGATTATCGTATACGATTTTCATGTATATACGTTACGCTGCGTACGCATGCGCATGGATACGAACCTGACGCTTGAAAGTTTCCTCGTGTTTGAGGATAGCCACTCTCATGTACTGCTTTTCGTACGGAGTAAGGATCTTCTCCATGATCATGTAATCAGTTTCGGTTCAGCCAAATCACGACGACCTTATTTCATAGAGAGGAGGAAAGATCCGAAATTTATTTAAGAAGCACACAACTGTGCGGTAGGGGAAGAGTTTTTGGATTGGTGTTTTCGCATTCCTCCTGATTATATATATATATATATACACGGAAGAGATGTGATTAAATAAAGTTTAAGAATAATATATAGTTACAAGTTGAATTAATTAAATAAACAGAAGAAGGTTAAGCCTTTTGTGATTTTGTATACAGCTCCAGCAAAGCCTTACTTACATGTTTTGTAACTGTGTGTATATAATGTATGTATATGTGTGTAACTACATGCACTGGACTTTTTTTTTGTATGAGTATACGTTGATTTCGCAGATGACACGACACTGGGATCCGAATTTTGGATGCAGGATCCACATAATAAATTCGGAAATACACAAATATAAATGGGTTATTAACTGTATTTCATTTTTTCTCCATGAAAATTCGAATTTATTTATAATTACCAATAAAAAGAAATTCAAATTTATATCAAATAATTGTAGTCACACAATATCTATGCATTGAATGTAAAAAAAAATTGTAATCTTATATATTAGATCGATGTCATCCGAAGTATTTCTTAGATTGCCTACAAATTGCATACACTTTATTGGAGGGATTTATGTGTATTAATGCATGACTTTATAAAAATATCATGATGATATAACTATAATAGCCAAACGTGAATATATATATATATATATGTATTGATGAGCTGTGTATATTACTGATATACAAGTATATAAATGTGTGTGTGTATATATATATATGACAAATAATCAGATCATACTTTTAGGATTTGATTATCACCACAATAGTGGGCGAGGGAATAGAATCTTGAAGAACAGGTGGCACATCCTGGGTCCCACATTCGGTAAGATCGTAACCGTTAGATTTTGTTGGGATGCCTCTTCCAGAATTCCAAAGGCTAACACCCAGTGACCCAATTACGTATTATATCATACGTTACATTATTATCGTTTAACAAGATTTACTCATTAAATTATATATAAAAAAAAAGATTTACTCATTAAATGTCCTGGGACCGACTTTTCTAAAAATTAAATTATCCAAGTCGAGTCTGCATGTTCATCAAACTTTTAAGTTCAACTAATACATCACTTTAGTGCAAACTTATAAGAATTATCATAATTAATACACGATTTGTTGTTATATAGCCATGTCGCGTTGTCATTTATGTATTTTTTTTACAATTTTGATGATAATACTTCATAAAGCACGTATGCTGCGGCTGTATAATGTATGCGGTTTTACTGAAATCATGAAACTTTTTTATCCTCGAAATTAACAAATTCACATCGGAATGAGCAGCGGTGGGAATGTAAACTTGAAGAGACATGCGTTTGATATTCGCTCATCATATCCCATCCGAAATATAAAATATTTCAAAGCTATGGAAGAAAAGATCGACCAAATTTATAAATACAAGTGAATGAATATGGACGCATGAACATATGTTGAAATGTAATCGTAGAGGAGGACGCAGACCGAAACATGGAAAGGAAGAAGAACATGTAAAGCATGTTCTCACCATGAGTTCAAATTCAAACGTGGAAAGAGGGGTATTCACCTGGGCTTCCCAATCCTCTGGGAGATATAGTCGGACCAAAGACCCGTTGAACTTCCGGATTATTAAAAAAAACACTTTCACTCCTACGTCACCACTTACCACTAACATCAAGCATGGCAATATCATGCAATTGATGAGAGAGAGAGAGAGATGCGAGGATAGGGGCAGTGGGTTCGTGGAGAAAGGCTGAACCAGAAAAGGTGACGTGGCTTCGTGCCATTAGCGTAGGCCTCACTCCGACCACCTCGGAAATTGGATTAAAATGGTAACAACCAATTATAAGTGGCATCGAAGTCCGAACCCCACCAGTTTCTAAACTCAGGCAATTGTGAAGGAAGGCAACTAACATAGATGAGACAGTCATGCTCGTAAACACACGAGGATCTGACGGCTGCAGCCATGTCTTGTCTCCTCCACCGGGGCCTCCGAGCAGTTTCATCATCAAAATTCGAGTCCGTTCTTGTTTATTCTAATTCCGTTTGTTATTTATATGATAACACTGCATGCTTATACATACACAACCAAACCATATTAATATATCTTATCCGATAATCGTACGATCTAAGCCTATAATTGATATTGACATTAAAAAAAAAGACAAAAAGAGAGTCTTACAGATTTTTTCAAGGATGCGGATATATTCTTAATTATTTAAAGGAAATAAAATTGCATTAAAAAAGGCATAATAATTGATTAATATATTCTTAATTAATGTGGACCATATAATAATTGTTTTTAGCACTTGACATGTTGAGAACACCAAGGATCACGACCCTCCGTACTTGTGAATGTCGGGTTTCCCCATTCATAATCAAAGGAATTTAATTATTAATTACTCCTATTAGAAAACAAAGGAGAGCCATTAAACAATCGATTTGTTTCTATTACAAGGCACTAACAGCAATCATGATGGCCAATTGCTGACATCTCTCGAATCTACCCGGTTTATTCCTTTCTCTTTAATTATATTTAAATAATTATATTTTAAAAAAGTTGTAAATGTCAGAGACTCTTCTTCACATTAGATTAAAGCATTTTCATGAAATCCGATAAAATCATGATTGGGTTGAGTTAACGAGGCATGGTTAACCAATTGGGTCTAATGGGTTTCAATTATAGATAGTTCATCATCCGCTATTGAAGCTCCTGAAAATCCACCACCTTATAAATAGACCATTAATAAATGGGCCGGTAAAGCCCAGCCCACAACCTATTGGGCCCATTGGATTAGTCTCTAAATTCATGCGTGTGTGTGTGTGTGTATATATATATCTCATTCGAATTGGAAATATTATAAAACGCAATGCTTTTCCTAAAGTAAATATCACACAAGGGCAGAAACAAAACTATATAAACAAAGGTAAATGATGCTCCAAGGTCAACAGCCGAAATAGCAGTTCTCCGAGTGCAAGCAACCCGCCGGCCATTAACATGAACGTGGCGGCGAGTTATGTCTATATATACACACATCATTCGACCATTAACTTTCTGCGTGTATATATGTATAATAACATTATTTTAATTAAAATTATTCCCAACAAAGGTTCCTATAAATGGAGACCCCTTCATCTCTCCCTGCTCAAACACAAATCAGAAGGACTTGTTCTTCAAGTAAACTATTCCCGACGAAAATGGCTCGGTTCGGTGCGGTCATAGCCATGGCTCTATGTCTCAGCATCTCCGTCCACATGGACACGGCCACGGCTCAGCTGAGTCCTAACTTCTACTCGAAGACATGTCCCAACATTCAGGAAATTGTAAGAAATGTGGTCAAGAGAAAGGTGAAACAGACCTTTGTCACCATCCCTGCCACTCTCCGCCTCTTCTTCCACGACTGCGCCATCAACGTATGTTCATATTTCTCTGTCCTCACACACACACACACACACACACACATATATTCGTTTCTTATTGCTTATTACATCTTGTGTAGGGATGTGATGCATCGGTTTTGATTCAATCAACACCGAACAACAAGGCCGAGAAAGATCATCCGGACAACTTGTCATTGGCTGGAGATGGGTTTGACGTGGTGATACAAGCCAAGAAAGCCCTTGAAGCCAATCCCCGCTGCCGTAACAAGGTCTCGTGTTCCGATATCCTTGCCTTGGCTACCCGTGATGTCGTCGTTGAGGTGATAATTTAATTAACCTAAACACTATAGTGTTAAGCATATATCGTACGTGTATGTCCCCTTTTTTTTTCATGAAATGAACCGGAAACTATAATGTAGGCCGGAGGGCCGTTCTATGAAGTGGAACTTGGAAGGTTCGATGGGTTGGTGTCAAAGGCGGCCAGCGTGGAAGGGAACTTGCCGAAACCTACGGACAATCTCGACAAACTCAATGCCATCTTCAGTAAAATGAAACTTAGCCAACAGGACATGATTGCTCTCTCGGGTAATCGCTATTTTGCTGAAAACCCTTCGTTACAAACGTACTCATTTTATCTTCTAAGCCGTGCGATGAAAACGTGACGCAGCGGCCCACACCGTCGGATTCGCACACTGCAGCAAAGTGTTCAACAGGATCTACAGCTTCAGCCGGACCAGCCCAGCGGACCCCACGCTGAACAGGGCATATGCCAAGGAGCTTCAGATGGCCTGTCCGAGGAACGTGGACCCAAGAATCGCCATCAACATGGACCCCACCACTCCGAGGATCTTCGACAACGTCTACTTCAAGAATCTCCAACAGGGCAAAGGCCTCTTCACCTCCGACCAGGTTCTGTTCACCGACCGCCGTTCAAGACCGACCGTCGACGCTTGGGCCAAAGACCCAAAAGCGTTTAACCGGGCGTTTGCGATCGCCATGACCAAGCTCGGCCGCGTCGGCGTCAAGAACCGCTTCAACGGCAACATCCGTCGCGACTGCGGTCGGTTTAACTAAATATGATTTGTCTTTTTTTGGAATCCATTTTCAGGACATCGAAATTGGTCTTACAATTGTGTTCCGACGGTTGTCGAATTTTCAGCTTTTGAAATTGGTCACTTGTTCTTCTTCCTATGAAATAAATGTATTATTGTGCTTTTTGCTGTTGGTACGATGTATGTTATGTAACCGAAGACGAGTAGATAGGTTGTCCGTATACAGACAGACGGCCTTTTAGATATGAACTATCAAAGAAGCAACTACCCTATTCGTAAAACGCCACTATCCAATCCATTCAAAGCATATAAAACCAGCACAAATAACAAAAAATATGTGCAGAAGCTAAAGATGTCAATGGAGGAATCTCCATCAGTTAGCCATATCGTCTAATCAGTCTTCTGTTCCAAGTAACAGAAACTTCTCCAGTTTCGCCGGCCAATCTTCTCCAAGAATTGAGGGATTTAACTCCATGGCCACTTGAAAATCCATCATTGATGCAGACAAAGAAGCACGTGTTTCCTGAGAGTATCTGTCTGAACAAAGACCATTACTGGCAGCCATGCCAGAACATAAACCTCGACTGGACCTCGAAGCCGCTAATTCCAAACATGGTTTGATTAGCCTCTTCAAGAAGACATCGAGGCCCATGTTTAACAAGTTAGTAAAGCCTACAGAGACTTCTACTCCTTCCACGCCCAAGGTTTGTTCCAGTTTCTTCTTCAAGGAAACAGTATCAGGTAGTTGACCAACACTGTAACATGTCTCCATATGAGAACAGGACAGCAATCTCCTAGAGATCATCCTTTGTCTCGCAATCTTTTCGCTGAAACTAACGCCCAGAGGAGCTTCGATGGGTCGATTCTCACTGTGAGTTCCCGGGCTCAGAGTTGACTGGTCGACCTCTTCCCCCTCTTCTATAGAGCATGGTGGCCTTCCACCAGAAGAAAACACCTCAGTGACTTGGCTCTTTCCTTTGCTATCTTTAATTCTGCGGTTAGGAGTCCTTCCTTTACGAGGGGATAGGGGAAGGTCTTTGCAGAGTGACTGAAAACTGTTACTTCTCTGAAACCCATTTACTTCCTTCTTATTACCCAGAGAAGCTTCTACACCAGGAGGTGTCTTTGAAAGACATATATTCTTGATGATTCCTGTAAGCAAAGCGTTATGAAGATGGATGTTCTCTTTCCCGACCGTGGCAATGCACAGCTTATCGAACTCGGACTTGCTTAGTTTGGAGCTCAGAAATCTGGACAGGAGATCAAGGTAGTTCTCTGTTTTGGCCCGACCAATCTTCTTCTTGATCTGAGACTTTAACTGGAAAGTGTCTATTCGAATGAAATGCTGACTCGTTGGCATTTGGGTCCTCGAATCCCCTCCCTGTCAGTGAAAAACATAAATTAACCTCATTCTCGAGCAAATCTGGATCTTCAGCAAATTGTAATGAAAACAACAGCATTCAATTCCAGGGAATACAAAATCCAAACCCCAGATGTGGCGAATCTGGATCTGTACAAGTCAAATCGCGACCAAAAATGTCAACCCTCGTTCAGATGTCTGAATTGCTGGATTTTGAATCAGGATAACAAAAACCCATATCTGAAATTTGCAGAATAAGTAACTTTTTCAAGTTCATTGAATCGATTCGAGACTAGTTCATTTGCACCCGACGAAAAATGCCAGAAAACAGAAACCTACCAAGTGAATCTCGACTTCCCAATCCGATTTTCCTGGAGACCAAACAGGGCAAGCAACCAAAACACCAAAAGGAAAGCCAAACTTTCTCCATCATCGACGCCGAAACACGAATTCTACTGACACCCGATTCCCGAAATCCAACGAGAACTAAACCCAAAAAGTAATTCTGAGATGAAAAGCACAAAATTTTCGAACCTGTCCCGACGAGACGAAAGAAAGATTCGATCTTTCACGGGAGTTTCAGCTGATTTCCGCCGTAGTTCTTCGATTACTCACGAGTTGTGTAGGAAAAGGGGAAAAAATGATTTGGGGGCAATCAGACGCAGAGAGAGCGTCTATTCGATTGTTTTTAGAAGCTTCTGCTTAGAGAGTCAACGCTTGGTCAAAGAAACACGTGCGAAATTAAATGCGTAAGCAACTGGGGTTTAGTGAACGGACCAATCGTGTCCCTTCCTTTAGACATTTGTAGTCGCATATCCAGACACTGGTTTGACTTCTTGACAAAAAAATTTAAAAGCAACACGTTCGGGTCGGGTCGGTCGGGTCACATATAACACTTGTCATTGCTAATTACTAATAATAGATTATGGAAGCCGAAGTGTCCAACATGAACCCAGGAGAGACATTTCTGTATATGGAAGCCGGGAGGAGATCTGTGTTTTTTGTCTGGACAAATGTAGGGAGACAGAATTTAACAACTTTTTTTTTTATGAATTGGTTCCACATTCGACGAGTTGGGTAATGGTAATCATGTCTGAATTATTACCCAAAAATCACGTCATCAATTCCTCTTTATTCATATTTTTTTTATAAAAAAGTTATCCCCGATTAATTCCATTAACCTGAAAAAAAAACGTTGCAAAAATTATTAATATCGCCGAAAAAATTGTTGGACCACTGGGTTTCTACATATATTGCTATTAATTAGTACAATAGTGGAGATGCTATTATGGAATTATCTAATACTGTTTTTTAGATATATAGTTTTATTCCGATGGTTATAGATACATGTTCTGATTCATTTTTATAATGACATACTAAAAAAATGCATAGATTTAGTGATTATATGTACATTCAAATATACGGATGGTGCATGGGAAGAATAGTATATTTTTGTAAAAGTTTGATTTACATGTGGAAGAAGGGTCGTAACTAAAACAATTTTTCCCGTAGCTAATGGATACATAACATAATCATTAGCCAACGATGAAAATCATATAATAATCATGTCGAAGATCAAATCTCATTAACATACAAAACTAATCCAAAAATCTATAAAAACAAAATACTATCTCACTAAACATTCACTAATACAAAAACAAGATATTAATTAGATAATAAGTTCAACCAGTAAGCATCATCCCTAATACAAAAAAAAACCTCAAATCAAATTAACCACATTAAGTGGGACCCAAGCAGTAGCAAATACAACATCATGTCCCTTCCACGTCAGTATGATATGGTCGTCGTCGTCTCTCTTCATTCCCCAGCCGGCGGCGTGCTCCTCAAGCATGACCTTCACCTCCGCCGCCGCTTCCTTACCGAAACCGACTCCGGTGAACCCCGCCGCCGTCATACGGTCAACCCACCGACTCTTCGGTTCCGCCCTCTCCACCCTCGCCGACCCTTCGTTCGCTACAACGTTCTCTATCTTCCAACTTATGTCGGCTTCGTACCACTCCCTCTGCTTGCTCCCTCGCGTCAAGAACGTGTCCATGGTGTCGTACGGAATCCACAAGTAGTTGAAAGCCGAACGTAATCGGCAGACCAAGTTGTTCGACGTTAAGTCCGCGTCTTCGTCGATTAGGGTTACGATCGTGGGGTTTAAAGCTCTCAGCTCTTTCAAGAAAACGCCCCGGAGGGACTTTTCCGGCGATGAAGTTGGGGTTAGGGTTTCATCGGGGACGTAATGGAGCATCATGTGGCAATTTATGACGAGGGCTTCGTTGAATGTGAAGGGTTGGATTCGTAGATGTTCGATGAGGGAGGAGAAGCCGTCGGAGTATGTGGAAGGGATGATTCTGAACTCCATTACTATGTTACGTGTGGTCGCGAAGTTGACGAGCTTCGAGCCAAGATCTTCGTAAGAGACTCCAAGCAATGGCGGAAGCGGCGGAGAGTCACCACCTCCGGCGGTGGCGGCTACGGTGAGTTTTAAGAGTGGGGGTTTCCGGAGTCGGCTTGCCATGGCATCGATGAGAGTAGGGATTTGCATGCAGTGAGTCAAACTCAAGTCAACGATGTGAACGGCGGAGTAGCCCTCGACGGCTTCGAGAATGGCGGCGTTAGCGGCGGTGAAGCCAAAACGGTGCCAAGGCGTGAGGTCGACGAAACCGGCAAGCTCGATGACGGAGAAGCGGTGGACCTCGGCGGCCGCAGCGGCAAGGTTGTCGGTATCAGCAACTGCTGCGGCGAGCGATGGGCTCTTGGAGGCGGCGCGTGAGACGAGAGCGCGCAGGAAGGCGGAGGTAAGTCGCTGGTTGGAGTCGCCGTCGTGAGGGGCGATGTTATGTAGGACCCACATGATCTGCTGAGCGAGCGTGGCGTCATTCGATTCGATGGCGTTGGCGCAGTGGACAAGGAGCTGTTCCATGCAGTTCGCGTCGCCGAACGCGGCGGAGGAAGAGGCCGAGCCGCCGCCGCCGCCGCTGCACGAGGGCTTGGAGGAGGGGAAACCGGGCCATGGCCGGGTAGGGTTGAGGAAAGGGGTTTTGTTCATAACTATGGTCGGGCCTGGAGAGAGTAGTTGGTGTTCTGCGAATTGCATATCACACCACAAGGATACAAATTAAAAGAACAAAAGAAAGGGAAGAAGAAGAAGGAGAAAGTGATATTTGAGGAAATAAACCCCCAAAAATAAATGGATTATAAATATGGACGTGTTCCTATATATATGTATGTAGACTTTTTTTATATAAAAAAAATATCAAAGAAAACAAGAAGAATGAAGGGGAGAGAGAGGGGAGGGGAAGGGGCAGGAGGAGGAAAGAGACGAGACTTTGGGAGGAGGGAGTGGGTACGCAAGACCTTGACCTTTTCATTGGGAAACGCACCGTTTTGGTGAAACTTCTGCCAAAGACAGACAAGTACAGACAAAATTTGTAAGAGCAGCTATCTTTTTTTTCTCAAGGCGTTTTCTTGAGTCTGCTAAGACACAAAGAGACTATGATTCGGTTCGTTAGCTTTTCTCCGCCACAAAAACAGTGCCGTGTACGTATAGGTATTAGGTGCGTACATAAAACTGTATAGAACAGGCTAAAACTATGTTGTTGAAGTAGGTCTTTATAGATTCACATGCCTCTCTATATAAACACTTTCAATGTCATTTATGGAAATCCAGAGCTCATCATATATTTTTTTTTCTATTTCAAAATTCGATGATGCGAAGGTCCATGTGACCATATCAAACTCTATAGAAAGGGGATCAAACCCAAGTATGGAGGAGAGTATTCACCTGGACTTCTCCGATTATGTGGAAGATGTAGTTTTGGCCCGATGAAAAAGAAGGATACTGACATTATTTCGTCATATCATCGAGAATTCATTATTTTATTGTTTTCCTCTAATCGACTGATATGTAGAATTATCAAAGCTAATATATATGATATATTCGGCGTGACATTGTCGCAATTAATTCCGAAAGCGAGAGTGCGATGAAATCGGACAAAGACCCTACACCGATTATTCCTTGTAACGTTGTAACGCCCTACGGAGTCAATCATCCTTTTTTTTTTTTGAATTGAATATTATTTCCCTGCACTTATTATATAATAAAATTCGGACATGTATTCTATGGCCTTTCTTCTTCTTCTCTTCTTTTTGTTTATCTTGCAGACATATTTTACAGATGCTGAAGGAAATATTTTTTTAATGCATTTATTACACAAGTTCATTTTTTTACGAAACGTTCCAAAACTTGTTATACAAAACCAAACCAATATTGCTGTGTACGTATAATAGAGAAGTTTGACAACTCTTTTGGCTCACTCTTAATGAACCCTTTCACAATCCTCATATATATATATATATACACACACGTACACATATTCTTATCGCTAACATTTGTTGTATAATATCTAGTGTAATCCATTGAACGTTACAAGGGGGCTCAGCTATTTGCACGTGAAGATGTGGATGAACAGATAAAGTAGGAGAGTTGAATATAATTTCGGTCGTGCATGGGACCTTACAATGCCACCTTTTTTTTGTTTTGGGTAGGTATTAATACAAAGAGACCGGCTTTGTCCTGCAAACTGGACTCTTAACACGTGATCTTTTTGCCCTAAGTCCCACCCTTTAAGAATAGACCACTCGTACACGCTCTCAGACAGACTATCCTCTTTTTCCCATTTAATATATCATCTTTAGCGATATACATATATATTGTTTTTCATATATATATATATATATGCGCTAAATTTCCGGTATAGTGTTTGTAAACATGTCTTCGATCCTAAGAAAGGTTAACACGTGAATCTTGGATACTCCCGTTGATTTTGAACCAGCTAATCTCAATCATATATGTCACTTGTTTTAAGCCCATTGAATTATGACGTGTGAATAACACAGCTCCTTTTAAAAGCCAATGGCATATTTATACTGAGAATAATTAAATTTGTAGGAAATATGTGGTCACTTTGGCACCGGAGAGCGGAGATGTTATACATGCATGTCCTTGTATATGTGCGGATAAGACAAAATGGTTGAGAAGCATCCGAGGAAAACATGTAACTGGGTATACGAAAAGTGAAAGAAAAAAAAGGCACACACTGACACACACATATATATATATATATATACACACATCCATATATACACTTATATATATAATCGATACAAATGGTGGAATCTAGAGGAGGATTCCTTAACCTTGAGATAACAGGGGCTAGAGGACATGACAAATCATATATATATATACCTTGTTTGGAGCTTTTTAGGCAAATAACTCTGCGGCAATATTTCTGTTGCACAATAAAAATGTGTCAGACATAATTAAGTGTTTGTTAATCAGAAATTTCGTTGATTAGATAAGATGTGATATTTAATTGCTCGGATAATATATCGATTTTTATGCTTTGTTAAAAAAAAGGTATCAGCATTAAAAACAAATACGCCAAGACGGATGGGTAAAAGATGATTAATTCGTCGGGTCTTGTGCTTTTTATTTGGTTATATAAATAAACCCATAAATGTCTACGTGACATGTGCTCACGACAGAATTATTTGGGATTATTATGTCATATGATTTTTATAACATTTATAATAGGTCCACTCAGCTCAAGTAGAGTAATAGAAAAGCCCATTGGGTTTACGTTCCAAATGAGAACGTAGTTAATGGGCCCTAAATTGGCCCAAATATAAGCTGATGGGCTTCGACCCGCGCCGAAGAAGACGTAGGACCGTTTAGAGAAAAGACGTCGTCGTCATGTCATCATCATCATCATCATCATCATCATCATCATCATCATCATTATTATTATTATTATTATTATTATTATTGACGCATATTATATGCTGTTTTCAAGCGATGACCTATGCGCTATGTCTTGTGATACGTTATTTATCATATCCGGAAGGATTAATATTATCCAGGGAATATCTATGGATACAGATAATGTGGACACTACTCCATACACATGGGCCGACCTATGTTATGAGTTAGGGGCATATGCCCTCACTCTTTTTATTAAAAAAAAATAACTTAATTATAAATTTGATAAATTTCTAACAAAAATTGTTCAATACCCCCATAAAAATTTAAATTTATATTTTAAATTATAATAATTTTTATATTGCTCCCGTTGATAAATTTTTCTAGGTCTGCGAATGGCTATATATATATATATATATATATATATATGCGTGTGTGTGTTCAGGGCATATAGTCAACCATATCATCCGGGTGTAGGACCCAAGATCGTGGACGTGTTCCGGCGATTCAGGAACCAGACACGTGAATGTGCCATGTCCGACACCGTTCCGTCGTTGTCCGGATCTCTTAAGAATCTCACCGTGGTCCTATCGAATCCCCTTCTATTCCTTCACCAATATTAATATCCTCCGTTATAATTTGTTTGCTTATTTTTTTCCAAGTGTATTCGTTCACTCACGACCGCATACTTCTTCAATGCATATAGTTTGAATCAGATGTATATAATAAGAAATCAACAAGAATTCTAATCACTACTTGGCAAGTTTTTCGTGCGACTTTTCAGCTCTTATGCATGGTTTGATGACATTCTCTTACACATCACCCGTATTTGATATGTAATTTAGTAGTCTCTAGCCATCCATTTTGGCATACAAGTACATTTCATATCAGTTATGTGTTGGTTATGTCCGGTTATTTCTAGAGACTTTTGGTTTTCGGTTTATTTTGGTTGTTATTCTTCATTTTGCTTTTGTATCTGATCCCTGATGGATTCTTGTTTCTGAACTCAACATTACATTATATATTTCTAAATTACTGTAAAATCATATGAAATCATTTAAAAAAAAAAAAAAATAGGCATATAACAAGCCCACGATTATTGTTAACAATGAAATCGATCAATTCACGTATATAAGGGAATATCAGTCTTATTTAGATATCGGTGACCTTAAATCAACTCCGACATGAATGGATGGATCAGTAAACAAACACTTAAGTAATTCTAAATCATTATTAAAATTTTATACAATATTATATATAAGCTAAGACATCCCGTAGTGGCTGACGTTTGCGTGTGTATATTGAAAGAGATATTAGATAAGGACCGGGAAGTCACGACTACAGAAAACGTTGAAGAGCCATATGGCTCTTGGGCCATCCGACCACATGAAGGCTTGTTCGGAAACAACCTTAATGTCCCCCGTTCATAAAGGGCAAAAGCAAAACAAGAGGACATTATTTGTCTAAATAATTATAAACTTTATTATCAACTCCAAATCTTAATATTTTCTTAAAATTAGTTGAAAGTTCCACGTCATCACTTGACCCTGCCACATGCTTTAAGGCTTGGACTCCATGCTTAGCATTCCCGACTTTATTCAAGAGATTAGGTATTTGGACATCCTTTCAAAGTTATGTGAATTAACTATATGCAAAATGCGGAACGAATAATCAAGATAATGATTAATTTAGTTAGATAAATTATATAGTGCAAGAAAAGACAGTTGTGTCTGCACCCAAAAGCTTGGAATTCGTCACAGCTTTTTATTTTAATATTTTAGAAAAAAAATTATCGTTAAGTACGGAAACTGATGTATATGTATGTAAAGTAAAGTATGCGTGGCAAGTGTTAATAAGTTAATTTGTTTGTCAGGGAAAACTTAATCAATAAACTAGAAATAACTTAATCAGTTGTACTATAAATATTATAAAATTTTAGTGAATATTTGTCACATAATTTGTTGAAAAATTGTAAGTGGAATGGCTCATGAATGGGCGGCTCGTGGCCATTTTCACATGTTTTCACCTTATTTATTTTCATAAGAAATATACAAACAAATAACTCTTTTCTGGAAATTTTATAATTTCACGGTTTACTATGACCAGACAAAAATAGTAATTTTGAAGGATGTAAAGAATTTTAAATATTAAACCAAAAATAATCCAGCTAATGAAACAACTTTTATAAATACCAACACTAGTCTAAAAATTATAGATCTATTCAAAGCGAATTTAGTCTTCGTGCAAGATATAAGGATAATAATAGTATAAGATATGATTATATTTTATCTAAAAGATTTGGAACTAGACCGTGATTATTTTTTAGTTTTGATAAAGTTTAACATCCTAATTGTTAGATTTTCCTAATAATTGAAAGTAACGGACGGACGAGATTTGTAGTTGGAGGATGAAGTGGGTCCATCTCTCACATTCCCAAGATCGGTGGAGATGGATCGATAATAATACCCAACATAACAATGCCAATTTATTTATATAATAATAGTATATCTTAAACATAAAATTACATTTCAGATTTCCACAAATTTATACCATAATAAAATTAAATTTATTCGCATCAATTACGGGAGAACAATTAACGACAAACGATTTCCAAACATATTTCCTTACTATAAACGTTCCATTAAAAAAATGTTAACTTACCCATTCGGGCATTACCGTAAACTTTCGAGATATGCAATAAAAAGAAAGTTAAATCATATGTTCTTATTTTTGAATGTAACTTGTGACCAATAAATTTCTGGAAGAAAAAAAAAACAGTTTTTGTTTTTTGTCGATAGGTATGAACTTGTGATTGGACAGGAAGGCAATTCATAAGGTGGAGGAATGCTGACGTGGTCCACATCCTTGTGCTCGCCATTGGCTGGTTGGCCGAAAGTATAATGCTTACGACATCTATAATTTATTGGCCCCACCATCTCTCTTCTTATCTTCCTCTCCGCTCTCCTCACAATTTTTTTTTTTTGCAACGCGAATTAACCCCACAATTTTATTATACGCAGATGTAAATATATATATATATATATATGTTTGCATATATAACTTTATGTTAAGTGTATCACCAACACAGCTCAAGGATCCAACAAAAAAAAACAAGCAGTACACGATTAAAGAAATGCATAAGGACCAAAAAATGTTTTGGTAAAAAAAAATGTATAAAAAATAAAAATGGGGGAAAGAAAGATTGGAAGGGAAGAAAAACGCAGTGCTTTTGAAGATTCCGCGAAAAAAAACCTGGCTCTTTGCATTGTCCAAAAGCCGTTTGTCCTCCAAGATGTGTGCTTCTCCCAAATGCATTGGATTATAGATATATACACACACATACATATATATTTGAAATAAAAAATCAATATATAATTAGAGTAAAATATAGATTTCAAAATATGTTTGGGAATAATATTGTGTATTTGATTTGTTTTAATTAAATCTATATTCTATTTTTTTATTAATTTTTTTTATAAATATATTAATCATTTTCATTGTAAGGTAACCATAAAGAGGGACTAACAATAACTTGCAATATATGACCTAAATGCACAATATTGAGATCCATATGTTATTTGCAAATAACAAGCTTGAAATTCGATTATAAGGGTTTACAAATAAGACTAATGACCGTTGATGTCGGGCTTACGAGGATTATACGAAGAAATAAATTAATATATCATCTGCACAAGTTGAAACTTTAAAAGAAAAAAGGCTAATAATATTCAGGACGCGAGGAATCGCTGCCATCCTCGTCGCAGCCTAAGTAACGTTGACTCCATACGAAGATTTTGCACAATGATTCTAAAATACGTGTTATATATATATATATATACACGATACATGAAGTTATTGATATATTCGTAAGAATTTGAGATGAAAAGGGTAATGATATTTACGAAGAAATGATCACCGACGAATGATCAGTGTTTCTCTCGTTAAATCACCGGTTTAATATCGCAAAACCATAGAAAAATTGCGTAACTCGTCCCTAATTTACAAACAAACAAAAAAAGAAAAAAAAAAGGTTCACTCGTGTTTCATGTTTTGCATCCCAAGTATTAACCAAGATTTTTTTCTCAAAAAACGACGTCGTTCAAACAAAAAGGTTGAGCAACTTCGTCGTTTCTCCGCCGCCGTGTCCGCACCGCTCACCCGCCGCGTTTCCACAATAAGACGACGTCATGACAGATTCCTCCGAATTCATCGACGGTGTTTCCGGTCGCCGTATACCCTCCTTGCACGGCGGAAGGTTAGGAACGAGAGAGAGATTGAGCCGCGACGACGGTTGCTCCGTCTCCAAACGCTTCCGTTTGGGAGGAGATGCTGTCGATCTGGATCTAGAGCTCGAGAATCGGCAGTGATGGTAATCATTCCGGTCTCCAGCGCCGTATTTATGGAGATCCAACATCTCCGTGCAGATCTCGGACGCTTCGTCGGAAGTAGGCGACGGTAATCCTCCGAAACCGCCGCCGCGTATGAGAAGCTCTGGGATCGGCCGCAAAGAACCGCCGCGGAGTACCGTCTCAACAGCCGTTTGACAGAGATTCCAATTCCCCGTCCACATCAATCCGACGGCGCCGTTCACCGGATTCACAGTTCTTCCACAAGCTTCGTAGAGCAATGACTGAAACAGAGCTGCACATGGAGAATGTTTCAAAATCAGCGATCGAGAATAGCCTCGTGAAATCGTCAATTAGAGAACTGCGGGACTTTTATTACCAGGTCGTTGAGATTCCGGCACGGCGGAGATGAAGGACATGAGACCGGCGCGGCCGAAAAACTTGGCGACGAAGACGGTAGCGTGACCCTGAGCTTCGGCCGTCTCGATCCACTGAAGACACGGGCGCAAGATGCAGTTCTCGCTGCAGCCTTTCCGCAGAACTCGGCAACCATTGCAGCTCATGATCGAAGATTTTCTCGGGCGATTTCTCACTTGTTTTGGCTTTCAGAGCAAGAAAGAGATCTTTCCAGAGAGAGAGAGAGAGCGGTCGCGTGGAATAAGTGGAAGAGATTCGGTGTATGAAATATAGAGTAGCCCCCGTATATATAGGCATAAAAACACTGATATTTAAGAAAAAGGAACGAGTCATGTTGCCTTTTTATTTTATTTGAGTTAATATTTAAGAAACACATAACAAAAAACCCCCAAAGGTTATACAAGTTGAAATGGCGCTCCATTTTCTGTATTTTAATGATAAAGTATATGAAATGATGTAGAATACGAAATAATAGAGTATTTCCCACTATAAAAAAAACTATGATAATATCCATACGTGGAGAAAATAAAATGAAACAATCATATGGTAATAACAATGTCCTTTTTTTGTGGTGAATTTGAATAGTAATGTAATGTTGGCGATGACGCGACTAGAGAGAGAGAGAGAGAGAGAGAGAGAGAGAGATTCCAAGGTCATGGGTGCAAGCGGCTCCGTGTCTCCGCGAATAGTTGTCTTTCCTCAGCCGTTGGATTTGTTATTTTTCGGCCGTTGGATATTTCTTCCAATTCAAAGAAAAAAAAAAGGAAATTCTAAGTTATCTTTTTTTAGGAATTAATGCTTTTCAATTTCTGTCGGGGTTTTTTCGTCACTTCTATTTCCATTTATTTATTTCTAATTTATGTGTGAAATTAAATATAGAATTACAGGCTTCATCACCTGATAAAACCGTCGATGGAAAAATGACAAAACACAAGGATACAAATCTGATTTGGTGTTAGAGACTATGCCGACCACCATTTTCGACCCTATCACTTGCTTAAGGGCTATCCAAAAAAGCTATATACATATATAATATAAAACGCTGCATAATGCGATGTGTGACGAAATCAACGTTTCCCACATAGAAAAATGAAATATCGAAATCAAATGATGGGTTTATAATGATTTCTCAAAAAGAAGAAACGCGATGCAAAGTCGCCGTTTCACGCTGACGTGGTATCCTTATCCACAAATGCCGATACCAATCATCGGAACACCACACAATAAGCAGTTTTTAGAAAGGAGCGAAATTAATTGCCATCTTTCTTCTCCTTTTTATTACGCTTACAATAAAAATAAAATATCTATTTATAAAAAAAATATAAATATAATAGAAATAAATTAGATATACAATATTTGATATAATAATATTATATTCATTATTATTCTCCATCATATCTCAAAATTTTATTTTACTCCCATCATATATTCATTTTCTTTACCGTAAACGATCAAATGCGGATATCTGCATAATATTAGGTGGAATATAGTACTTATAGAATTTGATCCAAAATCCGTAATTAGGGGGGGGGGACGGTCTCTTCTCTCGGCCTATTTCTGCCACACGATTGGGTATATGAATTTCCGAGCCTTTGGGTGAAATATATTGGGCTGCTACCATACTTTATTTGGGCCGAAAATCAAAACCGCAGGTCAAATCATCACAGTGCTTCGATGTTACATGCAATAATATAAATAAGAAAAGATTAAAAGATCATTCTTTAAAATATATATTGAAAATCTCGATTTTTAATAAATCCAAAGAAGTAATCATTTTTAAAAATATATCTTTAACTACGAATTATATCGGATCAAAGGCCTTTGGAGTGATAAACACGTTAAATCTTTTTATGTATTGTGTGTGTTCTTGTGAAAAACCTCAACGAAATATGATGGAATGGAGGGTGATAAATTATAAAAATACTAAAAAATTTTAATTTTTTAAAAAAAAAGAAAATATCAATTTGTATTTTAACCAAATAAAACCTCAATTTAGAAGAAAAAAACATAGACAAAACTATATTTTAAAATTGATTTATTTTGTAAATATATTTTAAAAGATTATTGTTAAAAAATAGAGGAATAAATCATTATAACATTTTTAAATGAAGATTATTTGGATGGCGGATAATTAAAGTTTTTATTAAATAAACCAATAAAAATTGTTGCTCGGTTATGATCTCGTTATTTTATCACTTATAAGTTCACAACAACGACAACAATAATAATAGTAACAATAATGATATTATTATTATTATTATTATTATTATTATTATTATTATTATTATTATTATTATTATTATTATTATTATTATTATTATTATTATTATTATTATTATTATTATTATTATTATTATTATTATTATTATTATTATTATTATTATTATTATTATTATTATTATTATTATTATTATTATTATTATTATTATTATTATTATTATTATTATTATTATTATTATTATTATTATTATTATTATTATTATTATTATTATTATTATTATTATTATTATTATTATTATTATTATTATTATTATTATTATTATTATTATTATTATTATTATTATTATTATTATTATTATTATTATTATTATTATTATTATTATTATTATTATTATTATTATTATTATTATTATTATTATTATTATTATTATTATTATTATTATTATTATTATTATTATTATTATTATTATTATTATTATTATTATTATTATTATTATTATTATTATTATTATTATTATTATTATTATTATTATTATTATTATTATTATTATTATTATTATTATTATTATTATTATTATTATTATTATTATTATTATTATTATTATTATTATTATTATTATTATTATTATTATTATTATTATTATTATTATTATTATTATTATTATTATTATTATTATTATTATTATTATTATTATTATTATTATTATTATTATTATTATTATTATTATTATTATTATTATTATTATTATTATTATTATTATTATTATTATTATTATTATTATTATTATTATGTTTGACCATTGAACCAAAAAGAATAGTCTTCGGCAAGGAAGTGAGGTCACAGTGTTGGAGTTTGTCCAGAACCAAAGTTCATTACCAAACATTTTCGGCTTTCATTAACGACAAAACTCACGTAGAGTGATGTACAATTCCAACATTTACATATATATATAATCATTACATTAAGAGAAAAGAAAACACGGACTAACTAATCTTGACCATTTAATTAGGAATTAAACATTACTCTCTTCTTTGGTGTATTTTTGCGTGGACATCATGCATATATATATATATATGGAGGGAATAAAGTTCATGGAAGTTGCTTGACAAATATCTATTTTATATGTTTAAACTTTAATATAAGATTTATATATAACAACAATATACGTATAGAAAATTCATTCAAAACTAACGTCACACAATATATTATATAACACATACGTCTATATATGTTCCCTTAAAAATACTAGAATATCAATGAGATCCAAAACCAATGCTCGCTAGAATATATACTATTGGGGGGGGGGGGGGTCGAACTAGTTCTTTAGCTAATAATCAATCTTAAATTCCTTGTTTTTATATTAAACATTAAAATTCTATTATTATAAATTTCTATTTTCTCAAATTCTATATATTCTATAAACTTACAAAAATATTTCATTGAAAAAAAAACAATGTTGACTCGCATAGTTGTAATTTTTTATTTTTGAAAACCCCAGTAACTAAATCTAAAATAGATTAATTAGGTTACCTTGACCTATACGATACGATAAAGGTAATTAAAAAATACATTAAAAGTACATTCAGACATTATATTCAAACATCTTGCATGGACCGATTAGTGATTCAATTTCGATAATTAACAATTAAATTAGTTCCACTAACTTCGCGGTCATCTCCTAGAAACATGTGAGGATATTACCTTTTATCCAATGGATTTTAAAATTAGGGATAATTCCATTTAAAACCCTGTACTTTTTTTTGATCCAAAAAACATTGTACTTTCAAAAATTGGCAATTAAAAGTTTAAAACTCTATACTTTTAAAAATTGGCAAATAAAACCCTGAACGAAAAACAATATTATTTAATGCTGACATGACATCTTAGTCATCTGCCACATCATCAATCCCTAATATTTAATAATATTAATTAATAAAAAATAAAAATAAAATAATAAAAATAAAAATAAAAATAAAATTTTAAAAATTATATATATTCATAAAAATTATACACATATAGAAACATGTTTATAAAAATTTTAAAATTATATACATATATAAATATATTTATATATACATATATACATATATATACATATGATACATATATATCTATATATGTGTATAATTATTATATGTTTTATATGTATGTGTTATATATGTATTTTTCCCTAAAAAACATTATATATATATATATGATTTTTAGGAAAAAAAATCATATATCACACATACATAAAACATATTTATATATATATCTATATAATACATACATATATATATGTATATATAAATATGTTTTATATGTATGTGTGATATATACATGCTTTTCTAAAAATCATATATATATGTGACATATGCATGATTTTTAGAAAAAAAAATACATATACCACATATGCATATAAAACATATATATATATATATGTATTATATATATGTGTGTATATATATAAATATGTTTATATATGTGTATATATGTATATCATTTCATTATATATGTATGTGTATAATTTTTAAAATTTTATTTTTATTATTATTATTATTTTATTTTTATTTTGTATTAATTAATATTATTAAATATTAGGGATTGATATGTGGTAGATGACTAGGATGTCATGTCAGCATTAAATAATATATTTTTTCGTTCAGGGTTTTATTTGCCAATTTTTAAAAGTATAGAGTTTTAATTTCCAATTTTTAAAAGTACAATGTTTTTTTTGATAAAAAAAAGTATAGGGTTTAAATTGCGACGAGAGAAAAGTACAGGTTTTTAAATAGAATTATCCCTTAAAATTATTTGTTTCATAGGCGTAAAAAAATACGATTACAATAATATTATAATTAACCTTAAGAAGAACATTTTTCTTAAATTAGATGCTGTACGTAATAAGAGATTAGATAATGCAAGCTCTAACATTTCTCATGAATTTAATCTTTTCCGATTAATTATTTCGGTAGCTCTCTCGGTCATTTTTTTTTTTTAAATCCGAATTAATTCTCTACCGTCTCGTTTTGTTTATCATAAATATTAATCATATTTTATTTATTGGTGGAAATACGCATTATTTAAACTGAATTTACAACTATCATACTAATATATAATAAACTTGGTAATAAGAAAAGTAACTGAAAAACGAATGATATGAAAATTGAGAAACTGAATATCCCAGTCCAGTAATTCGAATACAATAAAGAAAATAATAAATAAAAAAAGGCAGCCGTTCGATCATGTTCGATGATTATGATCAGCGCAGAAAGATGACTTTTCAACTGTTTGCTAAAATATATCCGAAGTATTTTGTTTATTATAAAAATAAAAGGTAATCGCTTTTATTTATTTTGGTGGGTCCACGTCGGATGGAAATCAACGGCCCAAGTTTCAGGAGATATATTCCTTGACCACCCACTTTCCTCTTGACACGTTTCAGATTCGGTTTTTAATTTTTTTTTTTTACACGAACCGATACTTTTGTTTCTTTATTCATAATTTACGTGGAAATAATATATACTTTTCAGCTTCACACAGGCAAATTAAATGAATACTGAATAATGGAATAGTATTTCGACCGATTACATAAGCACGATTTCATCTCTATTATATAATATCCGCATGAAAATAATCATTTCCAAATAAAGTCCACGTAATATGTAGTTGGGCAATATGATGTCGTTACCAATATATATATATATATATATATATA